TTGGAAAGTGCAAGGCTCTGCCCCGGCCGCTGCGGGCTGAGAAGAGGAAGATGAAAGAGGCGCCGGGAACAAAGGCGTCCCCCATCGAGGGGCCTGCACTGACTTGCAAAACCGCAGCCTCCAGCGCTGACGTCCTGCTTCTCATCGCAACGTGCTTTTTTTGCCCCCGTCGCCGACGAGGAAACCGAGGCACCAGGAGGGGACATAGCGGAGCCAGGAGGGGCACCCCCATACCTGTACCCAACCCAGGGCACCGACAGATCCCAAGGGAGAGGAAACCCCGCAGTGCCCGTCCCCAAGCAGCACGGGGACAGCCCTGCGCCCCTGCCCGCACCGGGGTCCCTGCGCCACCAGGGCAGTTTTTATACTCTCTCTATCCTAAGAAATCACTCAAACGCGATCAAACATGGGCACAGTGTTGGCCGGCAGCAGGTGGGACACATCCCTGCTCCTTGCAGCCGGCTGGGATCTTCCCCAAAAACAAACCCTGTGCAAGGAGGGATGAGTGGCCCCGGCTGCCGCGTCCCTCTGCATGGGGGTCCTGAAAAAAAGTCCCCCCCGACGCGGCCACCGGCTCTACCATCTGTCACCGTTGGCCGACAGGGCTGGACCAACTGCCTGCTGCAGGACCGGGGCGGGCGATGGGGACATGCCGCAAGGACAAATCCTGGCGAGGCTGGGCAGGACGCGGGGCTGGCAAAGGACCCGCAGAGGGGGGAGCTGCCCCCGAGGAAAGGGAGGATGGAGGAAAGCCGTGCACAGAGAGACTGAGGGCACCTGACGTCAAAAGATCCCGGGGACGAGGCCCTTCAGCACCTCCTCAACGCAAACCCTGCCGGCACCGCATCTCTTGTATCACGTCTGCAAGTGAGATGCCACGCGTTTTGTCCCCAACCAGCTCTGCTCACATTACACCCTCTCCAAAGGGGGAATTTTCTGCCCTGGCTGGGCTGCGCCGAGCAGCCCTCGCGAGTAGAGCATGGGAGGAGCGAGACACCGCCGGGACGCTGCTGTCCCACACCGTGACAGCAATGCCACCGCAGCAGAGCAGGGCACGCCACACTCAGCTCACGCTGGGCTGCTATCAGAGGCCTCGAGAGCAGAAATGAATCTGGGGGCGGCTGCATGCATTGCCGCGAGCTCGGGGTAAGGCAACCACTGCTGGAGGTGACGGCTGGGGAAGATGAGAGCCTCTGGGCACTGGGGGACCGTGTTCCCCGCTGTGCTTTGGCAGGTTGGGGCATCCCCTATGTGCTCGCACCCAACGCCACCCGAGCTGGTGGGACCGAGCCTCATGCGTGGT